CATGCCGGCCCTGCCCCCAGGGCAAGCTGAGACAGCAACTGAGACTGGGCATGGTGGTGCGTGCCTGTAATCACAGCTAATGGGAGGCTGTAAGCAGGAAGATCACTATGAGTTCGACCTAGTCGTCAGACCCTGAATACCCTGTAGACTCTTCCCTAAAACACAAAAGAAAAAAGAATAAGGGAAGGCCAGTGAGGTAGCTCAGCAGACTAAGCAACTGCTTAGGCAAGCACAGGGACCAGGGTTTGATCGCTGGCACCATGTGCCATGCCAGTCCCGCCCCCAGGCGCACTGAACCAGCCACCGAGATCGGGCATGGTGGTGCACATCTGCAATCCCAGTGCTGAGGAGGCTGAAAGCAGGAGGATCACTACGAGTCTAAGCTGTATAGTGAGACTCTATACCAAATACATAAATAATAATAAGTTTGGAATTTGTCAGTTCTTCACTGGAGGATAGTCACAGTTCATAATAATAGCTAATGACCTCAACCACTGAGCCCCTAACTGTGCATGGCATAGGGCTCACTGGATGACACCTCTATGTCATTTAGAGTACAGCCTCTACCATGTGACTTCACACAGTTTAATCTCTCTGAGCTTCTGTTTCTTCATTAGAAAATGGGTGCTGTGGGGAAATTTTATTTAGAGGATATAAATGCATAATGTTACATACTATCCAAATATGTCAGTTGTTGCTATTATCAGCATCACCATCATTTTCTTGCTTTCCTATATGTTTAGAATTCATCAATCAAAAGACAGTTGCAGCTCTTTCCTTATAGTAACTGATACTACATGAGTACAAATGGAACTAAAGATAATACTTGTGCCCAGAGCTGACATCCATTCATCATCCCTCTGTGGACAATTATAGCATCCTTACTAATGGGAGTCCCTGTACCTCTCCTGGAATTCCCATAATTTATTTTCTCTACTATAACCAGCTGGCTGTTCTTGCCTCCCTTGGCTAGGAATAGGCATAAGGAGCCAACTCTTTAAAAGGCCTGCCAGGTGGTGCTGTTTAGCTCACCCTGCTAGGGTTCTGCTACTTTGTGGTCCAGATGCATAAGCCTCCTTCAATCTCCCCAGTATGCAGTTCTCTCAGTGTGGGACACTGTGATTCACCTTGGTTCCCAATGGGCTGGTTCTAGCCAGTCTCCCAGAGCTTAGCTGACCTCCCATCTGACCCCAGACTGGGAGGACCCTTTGACATCTACTACCTGGCACTGGACCTTTACTTCTCCATCCTCAGCTTCACTCTGGAAACCTGACACCACCCTTGCCCACTAAGATGCCTCCTGCAGGAAGGTCCTGGCTGTGTCTGTACAGCTCAGCACTGAAGCTCCAGGGTCAGTCTTGTCCCAGGTGATCAATAAACATTGTGGAAAGAACAGATGAAAAGCCAGCAGCGAGCATTCCCTATCAAATAATTAATGGGCTTACTTTTTTCTTGATAAGATATGGAAGTTAAAAATTATTAAATAGCAACATCTAAAGAACAAAACATCAGAAAGTTTGTCTCACATAAACATGAGCGGGATCTTCATCGTAAGGACATGTATTATCTAAATCCTGGGTTATGCTGTTCTTAGAGAAGTGCGATCAGCCCGGGGAAGCAGTTCTGCTGTATTCTCTAGGCCACAGTTTGGACTTCATCGTTTTCTTTGTAAATTCTCCCAGTAATGAATAGATTCCTTAAAAAAGGGGGGCCCTCCCTGCTCAAACACTGCTCTCACTTAACAATCATACCTTCAGTTATTGTGTTTTTCTTTCATTATCTTCAGTTTCCCAAGACATTGGTCAACATAATGTTAACAGATACAGCACGATATGCAAAGCTCCATGAAGCCCCGGATGCGGTGCAGGAGAACTGACCAATCACAGCAGACTGGAGGTGGGAGAAAGAAACTGAGCAGAGGGAAAGGCTGGCAAAGCGACAGATGCTGCCGAAGAGAGTGAGCTGAGCATGCAAGGATTAAGCAATACCTTTATCAAGCTGAATGAAGTCTTGAATCCTTTCATAAAAATTATACTTCCTTTAGTTTTGTAGAATAAAAGTCAAACATGATGATAGTTAAAGACACTATCAAAAGCAACACTTGATTATCCATTCTAAGAGTGAGCACCTAAATTTGACTTCATCTAACTACAATTTTAGATTCACATTTGAAGTTAACACCCCAATCAAAACTTTCTTTAGCTGAACATTCAGTCTTTTTTGAATGCATATATTAAAAATGTATATATTCAAGGATAAATACAACTGCCTGAATATCTGATGCTACAGTCTGCATAACTGAGTCACAAGACATCAGTTTCCACAATGCTAAAATGGGTACAAAGTTGGCTTTTTGTTTTATTTGCTTTGCTAGAGAACAATGAATCAGATACAGAAGGTGTTCTGCCCTTAAAGAGCAACCACCTTTATTTACAAGATCCATATATAATCAGTGGACATAGTATTCGTTTTCCAAAACATTTACCTATAAATGTACTATATCTTCTTTTTAAAGATTAATTTTCAAACACCACCATAGATACAGTACCTGTTACTGCTTTCCCTCTTTTCCTGTAGCAAATGCCAAGGATGACAGCAGCCACCAGCGCCACACATATGAAGAGAAGCAGAATGATTAAACTGGGCAGATAAACCTGGGGGTCTGTGTTGGAAGAAAATGAAAAATATAATATTAAAGCCTATTTAATTTTATGAAATTTAAAAGCAAAAACCTTAGGAATGCCACCTCAGAATCCTGGGTGTGGGTCTGGAATAACAGAAGCAGGGTGGCCATGGAGATAGCTCAGCAGTCTAAGCACCTGCCTGGCAAGCGCAAGGACCAGGTTTGATCCCTGGCACCACACGCTATGTGAGCTGCATAGTGAGATGCTCTACCAAATACATAAATTTAAATAAAACAAATTAAAATTTGGGGGGAAAAATTAAAAAGGGTAACAGAAGCAGGGAGCTCTCAATACCTAAGTAAGCATTTTTCTGAAAGATTGCATAGCCAAGCTCAGCACTACTGGGCCTGGCTCCAACCATGTGTGGTCAGTCCAGGATCATTGCTGTGTCCCTACCTCACAAGTCTCCCTACTTCCTCTCTCCTTTTGCCTGTAGGCAGAGAGAAGCTTTCATAACCTTTGTCCAAATACCAGCATGGTGCCAGCATTTCACTGGCCATGAGAAGAACCACAGCCACCCTAGGAAGGATTTCTGCTATTTCAGCTCCAGGGCAATGCGAAAGCTATCACTTTCTTCGCTGCTCCTCAGTCACTTATAGTTAGAACCTTTGTATCATCAGCCCTTTGTTCCTAGACTCCCACCTTTTTTTCCCTCTCTTTTTAAAATATCCTTTACTTCCTTCATTATTTTTCACCCTATTTTTTGGTTATTTTTAATTTTCCAAATGGTTTTTTAAAAACTCTGCTCTGATTGTGTAATTTCATAGCCACATGCTTTCCTGTCTTCTTGTTTCTCAAAATATCAAATTTAAACCCCTGACCAGTCTATCCTGTTTTCTGTGATCTGTGTTCTTTGCCTCATTGGATAGGCATTCCTGCTACTTCTCTTACTTCTTCAAGTATCCACACTGACCCCCACACTGACCCACCCACTTGGAACAAACAGCTTCCTTCAATAACCAGCAATTTTTGGTCAATCTTCAAAACAGTGCATAACATTAACTTGACTTACAGAATGTTCTGTAAGTCATGACAGCTAGGGTCTAACAAGTTGCTGTTTCTAGTTAATGACCAAGATCTCCCTACAAATACATCACTGTGGCTATCACCACCTTACTGTGTCTGGGGAATTTTCATTTATGTTTGCAGCTTTGTTTTCTTTCTGTGTATAAACATATCATTAGTTGCCTCCCATCCAGTGTAAAAAGTTATCAAGTATTCTAGCCTGTCCAAGTCCTTAGGTTCAAGCCCTAACACTACTTTTTAAAGATCAAATAGGGCAAGCAAGATAGTTCAGCAGACCAAAGTGCCTGCTTAGGCAAGCTTGGGCAAGCACAGGGACCACAGCTGATCCCCAGCATCACATGCCATGCCAGCCCCGCCCTCAGGTGGGGCTGAGTCAGCCAGACTCCAAGCATAGTGGCACACACCTGTATTTCCAGCACTAGGGAGGTTGAAAATAGGAGGATCACTATGAGTCCTAGCTGTGTAACACCCTGCAACAACCAAATATATCAAAAAATAATAATAAATAAAAAATCGAATAACATATCTAGAGCTAAAATGCTGATAAAAATGGAACCCAGAGCTGTCCATGGGTAGGGTGAAATGAAAAGGGACAGATGAGTCCTTGCAAATATAGCATGCGCCTCCTCAGGAAGCTCCACAGTTGACCGTACTGGGCACATCTACCACCCAGCAGGCTCGGGTCACACATACCCTGCGGCAGTTTTCTGGATGGCAGAGAAGAACTGCAAACCACATCTGATTTCTCTGTCCCACGATGTTCTTCTGTCTTCCCAAGAACAGTACAACTATGAAAGGAAGAATAGTTCAGTGCTTTGGTTTAATATTCTTGTTTTAAAAATAAAACAAAACAAAAAAAATCCTACTATGCTATGGTTAGGTTGCCAGCTCCTTCAGAAGGGAATCCATGTCTTCTTGGACATCTGGATCTACATGGGACTGGAACACCACAAAAATAGGTGGAGTTGCCAAAGAATACTCTAAGAATGAGAGCATGGTGAGTGAGAGTGTAGTAAAAAGATGCCAAATGCTTCAGTTACCCTGGCTAAATGGTGAACTTCTGGTAAATCCTTTTTTGAAGTTGAAAAATACAGAATACATTTTCAACATAAAACTTGGACACACAGATCAGAAAATCAGCATTTCATGGCTGGCCTGATAGCTCAGCGGATTAAAGCACCTCCTTAGGCAGACACAGGGACTGGGGGTTTGATCCCTGGCCTGCTGTGCTGGCCCAGCCCCTAAGGCACACTGAGACAGGGACTGAGACTGAGTGTGGTGGCACACACCTGCAGTCCCAGCACTTGGAAGGCTGAAAAACAGAAGAATCACTACATCTGATTTTCGTAGTAAGACCCTATAGACCTTACAGACCCTGTACTAAATGAAAAAAGAAAGAAAGAGAAAGAAAGAAAGAAAGAAAGAAAGAAAGAAAGAAAGAAAGAAAGAAAGAAAGAAAGAGAAAGAAAGAAAGAAAGAAAGAAAGAAAGAAAGAAAGAAAGAAAATAAATCAGCATTTCAAGGGCTGGGGAGATGCCTCAGTGGAATGAGCGCTTCCCTGGCAAGCACAAGGGCCTGAGTTCAATCCCCAGTTCCACCAAAAAAAAAAAAAGAAAAGAAAAAGAAGAAGAAGAAAAGAAAATCAGCATTTCATAGGAATATGTTGAAAACTGAAATAATTGTTATATGGGAATTCCACCATATACAAACTCACATAAGTGTGTCATAGCAGAATAGGTTAATTATCCTTAAATTAAAAATCTAACATGCAAAACGCTTTAGAATATGAAAACTTTTGTGTATCAACATGACCTCACAATTAGAAAACCTAACATTTTGAAACTTTGTTTTACTCACAAACATAATTTAAAATAACATAAAATTACTTTCAATGTAATGTGTATAATATGTGTACAAAACAAAGTGATTTCTGTACTTAAGCTTGGTTCTCCTTCTATCTCATTGTACATATGAAAATACTCCAAAGTTTGAAAAAATGTTGAAACCTGAAACATTTTTGATCCCAAGCCTTTTGAATAAGAGTCACTTAACCTCTATATGAAATTATTCATTACAAAATTATGTATTAGTGTAAGAGATGGGGAACAATCTAAGTGACTATCAAGAAATTTAGGCTGGCCAAATAGTTCAGCAGATTAAAGCACCTGCAAGCAGGTGTAGGTGCTGGGGGTTCAATGTCCAGGCCTGCAGTGCCAGCCCCGCCTCCCAGACATGCTCAGAAGGCAACTGAGACTGGGCGTGGTAGTGTGTGCCTATAATTCCAGCTCATGGGAGGCTGTAAACAGGCAGATCACTATGAGTCCGATCTAGTAGTGAGACCCTGAACACCCTGTAGACCCTAAAAATACAAAAAAAAAAATTATCAAATAAATTATAGTACAGTTCTATAATGAAATTCTATGTCACTTTAAAAAGCTGCAAAGCTGCAGAAGGTGTCAATATACACGGGAGCATCTACGTGCACATATATAGTGCAGACTTACAAAGTCTGGATGAATAAAACAGTGATGCTGGGAAGTTGGGAAAAGCAGGAATGGTAAGTGAACGATCATAAATGTCGTAAGTTGGGCTGTGGTGTAACCCCTGGATTCTGACCCCCAGCATCACCAAAATCAAGTCATAAGTCATTTTCAGCCAAATAAGTTTAGAAAAAATAAAAGAAGATATACAGCATTAAGCTATAAACTACCACATTTAGTAACTAACTAAAGTTCCCATCACACTTCAGATTGAAGAACTGGGTTGACTGGCTTATTTTCCCCACACTGAATTGACAGATGTTTTCCTAAGAGGAAGCCTTACTGAATGGAATCAGCCTGATTTCCATCCACACAGGACAGTGGAATTTGAGTTGCTTAAAAAACAACCAACTCTTTTGGCTCCAAATGTGTTGTCACTTACTTGGTCCAGGGTTTGCATTTGTCCGTGGAAGAAAAGGAATCTGAGAAGTAGCCTGGGGGGCAAGTCTTGCACACGGTGTCCGTGTTAAGCTGCACTGTCAAAAAGACCACAGACAGACAAACAAAACAAAACAGGACACTTAGAGATCAGCCAGGATGAGGCCCAACAAGTGCTGTCCCTCTCTGTTTCTTGTCCCACCCTTGCCCATCCCTCCTCACCAATAGCTTCCACTCCTGAGCATGGGCCTAGCAAGCAGTTCAGATGTCCATAGTGAGTAAAAACGCATTCTTTTACTCAGTTAACTCAGAAAGGTGACTGTCTCCACATCAGGCCACTACCACCAGTGTCTGATGCCAGCTCTGATCGAGACCCTCTGTGCTCAGAGTCAGTCAGAGAGGTGCCTGCCTCTTGATTTGGCAATGTGATTTGCCTTGAAATTATATTAACAAGTGCCAGTTAATATTGAATAACTTACATCAAATCAAATAGCTTTTTAAAAGATGCACATACTCTAGAAGATTGTAAGAAGGCTTCAGAAACAAAGAGGCTTTCCAAGGGGCTACCAGGCATACGAAGAATTAGTGGCATTCATTTCCACACATTTTACTTCCACGTGACTCTTTGGTAGCACTGCCCACGGAGGCATCTTGCACACTTTCTTTCCTTCCTCCCCTTTACAGTCATGTTTCCACCCTTAGAAAGAAGGCACATTTCTTACACATCCCAAATCCTGCTATGGTGACAAACAGAATGACAATGGAAATACTAGTGACATAAAAAAAAGAAAAAAAGAATACTAGTAAATGCCCTGCATTCACAGCACCCAGTCTAGCTTTTCTCTTTCTCAATCTAAAGTCAAATGTGTGCCATGGAAAGAGGATACTTGAGGTCAGGTTGAGTTATTCTGAGCTCGTGTACTGCAAAGTTGGGCAGGAGTGAAATTCTCACCCCTCCATCTGAAGCCCTCTATCTTCTACTTATTATCAAAGATTGCACCATCCCCAAAGGTGCAAAGCAGGGAGGGCATCTACCAGTAGCCCTGAAGGCAGCAGCACCTTGTTTCACACAACTGAGAACATTTTAGAAAGGCACTATGCTTTGTCTTAGAATCAGAATTCAGCAGGAGCTGGCTGTGACAGAGGGGTTTCATGATTTAAAAATAAAGGTAGACTTTTTCCATAAGAAAGCATGTCTGGCAAGCACAGGGTCCTGAGTTCAATCCCCAGAAAAAAAAAAAAAAAAGAAAAAGAAAAAGAAAAAGAAAAGAAAAAAGAAAAAGAAAGCATGACTGGGGCCGGCCAAATAGCTCAGCAGATTAAAGTGCCTGCAAGAGGTGCAGGAACCTGGGGTTTGATCCCCGGGCCTACCGTGCCAGCCCTGACCCCAGGGTGCATTGAGGTGGCAAGTGAGACCGGATGTGGTGGCGTGTGCCTGTAATCCCAGCTCTTGGGGGGCTATAAACAGGTGGATCACTATGAGTCCGATCTAGTAGTGAGACCCTGAACACCTTGTAGACCCTTCCCTAAAAAATACAAAAAAAAAGAGGAAAAAGAAAAAAAAAAGAAAGCACTGGGTTGTCAATAAGCAGTGCCTATGCCAGTTAAATTCTGTGATATGTATGTTCCTCCACATGAGTTGAAATGAATAATAGTTTAACACTCCCAACTCTGCCTAAGTATTTTGGCTTAAAACAAGGTGTCTCTAAATGAAAGATTAACAGGCATTGATACATCTCGAAAACACTGCTTTGTTATACTTTCTAGAAATAAAGAAAACAATTCTAATATCTCTGTTAAGCTGGGAGCATTTTAGGCAGCTAAGCTAGATAGAAATTAAAAGACAGGGTGGGGCTGGGTCCTTGAGGGAGTCACTGCACAAGATGAGACAAGTCAAAATTGTGCCTAGAGATGAAATGGTGGAGAGCCAGGCCTAAGGCTCCCTAGAGGCAGAGACAGCAGCTCAGGATTATACTGTACTCAGCACTGCCCAGTTCACTGAGCCTAGCTGAGGTACCAGATGCACAGGTGGCCAGGCGGCCAGAACACCCTGATCCTTACTCCCATCCCTTTCCCAGAATACCTTTGATCTTTCTATCTTAGAAGTTACAGACAAGCTGAAGTTAGTGATGCTTCTAATATACCTCCTGTGTACCTAACTTCCCTACTGGATCATTATTAGCTAAGTGTCTGTATTTGTAATCCTATAGGTTGATCATAATTTGATCCATAGTTATCCAAGTTGTGACCTTGCTGTATAGAATGCCCTTGACAAACCAATCTTGGTAGCCACATGCCCAGAACTCTTCCTCTTAAGAGCTTTCTCTTGACAAGCTTTTCCTATTGTTAGCTTCTCTTGCCCTTTGGTAATCGAGAGACACAAACTTAGCACATCTGACATTTAACAGGTTGGGAGCCACTTCCCCACAAGAGGATTTCTATTTATTTATTTAAAACAAAATTGAAGGACACAATTGAGTTATCAAATGACTTCTTTTTTTCTTTTTGTATTTTTCGTACAGGGTCTACAGGGTCTCACTATACAGATTGGACTCGTGGAAATCCTCCTATTTTCAGTCTTCTAAGTACTGGGATTACAGCCACATGCCACCATGCCCAGTCAGTCTCAGCATGCTCCAGGGGCAGGGCCAGTAGGCAGGCCAGGAATCAAATCCCTGCACATGCCTAAGCAGGCACTTTAGTCCGCTGAGCTATCTGGCCGGCCCTTATCAAATGACTTCTGATGTCACGTCACTATGTGATCATGGACATATAACTCAGAGACTACTGAAGTGACTAAGGGACAGCTCAATATTAGTTTTCTTTCTTAATATATATATATATATATATATATATATATATATATAACCAAAAAGGTGGAAAAAGAACTGATGTTGCATCCTGTTGCAGTTAAGCAATAAGCAGCCTCTACTAATTACTATATAATAGGAAAAATTCCCATTCGTTATGAAGTTTAAAGGTTTTACCTTTATGATTACAATATAGCAAAATATATTCACCTGTGACAAACTGTGTAATAATATATGTGGTGGCAACTCAATCCAGAAGAAAAATATTTTTCTGGTCAGAAACTTGTCACAGTATTTTTTTTTTAATTGAGATTTTAAATATGTACCCTTTTTGGATACAAAAGAATAAAAAAGGTAAAAGCCCTTGAAGCATGAACATATTTTGGAATAAAATTTTGTAGAGATGATGGAGTGGACACAAATTAAAAGGAGAGAAAGAAACTCCATAAGTTCCTGAGGGAAAGCTGATTAATGCATTTTAAAATGGAGGGTTCTGGGTATCAAAATTGCTACGGTGTTTAGAGTCCAATGACTATTTTTAAATGTGTTAACTATAGTTATAATTCCCTGGTAACTAAGTCCTTAGCAACTCTTTAAATTAGTAATAAAAAACATCAACTGAGGTACTTTTTTCCCCCTGCAGGGGGGTGCACAATTAAAGGGAGGGAAGGAGGGAAGGAGAGAGAGAAAGAGAGAGAGGGAGAAGGAGAGGGAGAGGAGGGGGAGAGAGAGAGAGAGCGAGCAGTGGCACGAGTGTGAGCGCAAGTGCAAGCCAGAGGCAGAGGTAGAGACTGAAAGCTGGGAGTGGTGATGTGGCCCTGTAATCTAAGCACTAGAAAGACTGAAGCAAAAAGATGGAGAGGTCAAGACTGGCCTGGACCACCTAGGAGTTTGACATAGGCTTGAGCTATGTACATACTGAGATTATCTTTTAAAAACCTGAAGTGCCCCGTGCTCTCCTGTGCATCGTAGGGTTTCACTGCCGCCTGAGCAGCCCGAGTGCCACAGTGGCGTGACAAGTGCTTCACTGCTCACATTCCCTTTGAAGATCCTGAGCCACTGATCCTCAGTTCTTGCCTGCACCCATCTCTTGTGGAAAATCAAGGTCTCCACCCCAGGTTCATCTCGTGTCACCTGGCTCCCTGGAGCACCAGCGATCCCCAGCTACCCACCCAACTGGGGATGCAGCCCAGGGCCTTTACCCTCAGCTCTGTCCCCAACACCTGCTCCTCCTGGCTTTGAAACAAGGTGCCACGAAATTGCTAAACTGCCTAGGCTGGGCTCCAACTTGCTGCCCTCCTGTTCCAGTCTCCCAGAATGCTCAGATCACAGCCGGGACACCACGGCCTTCTTAGCGAAGCCATAAGTAAAAACTACCTGGAGGTTCTCTGCACCCTAATTTTCATTGCATGCCTCTGTGGAAGCAGACTGGAGCACACACATACGTGCATGAACACACACACACACACACACACACACACACACACACACACACACAAAACCGTACAAGGGTGCTGGGCGCCAAAGCCGGGCTTGCACTCTGTGTTGCGTCGGCAGCACTCGCAGTCCTGGCTCCAGTGATAACCAGCCGTGCAGGCGCAGCGCCGGGGAGCCGTGTGGCTGCCAGGATCCACTGCCACCAGAGCCTTGCCTGTGGGAGACACAACACAGGTCAGTGGCCACCAAGAGGGAGAACATCTAGCCCCAAATGCCAGGACAGAGCAGCCTGGCTGGCCTGCAGAATGACTCATTCAGAACGCTTGCTTTGAGGAACTCCTAAGTTCCTCCTGGCACTTCCTGTGTGGCACAAAAAAAACACCAGCATATTTTTCCTAATAGGTTTTTTTTTTTTT